CGGGGTTGCGAGGAGCCTTGCCCGGCACATCTCGGGCCTGCCACGAAGCGGGGGCGGGGGGGATTTCTGTCGGCCGCTGCTTCCTCAGCTGGAGAAGGGAGAGCCGGCCGCCGGGGTGTGAGGCCACCACCGGGGACACCGCAGGGGGTGGTTTAGGGGCTGGAGACCTGCTCCGGCGGGTCGGCGGGAGCTTTACCGTGAAACGGGATCGGTGTCACCTAGCAGCTGCGCTCCCCTCCGGCTCGGGTTTCCTGGCACGCGGTGCCAGCGCAGTCCTTAAGTTGGTCGCCTGCTACCATTTTGCCTCTTCCCCTTCCTTTCCCTCCCAAACTCTCACTGAATAATTCATTCCCGCAGCTCCCTTAGGCGGAGTAATGTCTGCACCGGGTAAAGTCTCTTTTCTGCATTTGTTTAAGGGAAGATTCTCTAAGGGAGGGACCATGAAAACGGTAGGTGATTTACCTCGTTACAGCTGTGCCATTCTTGTTGCCTAGGTGAGATTATAAACTGGGTTTCGTTTTTTTTTTTTTTCGGTCAGGCATCACTGCCTTTGAGGCTTGAAAAATCTGCTGCAAAATTTAATAGCGTGGACGGTTTCCTTACATCTTCAACTTTTCTCTAATTCCAAAGACAAAATTCACTAAGCCTTTATAGGATAAAAGCCTACGTCCACATCATTTCTGTGTCTCACATGACATTCGATTTCCTTTGAAACTCTACACCCTTGAATGGCTTGCATTTTAGAAATATGAGTGAGGAACCATCAATAACAAAGTTTTAAAATATGCTCTGCTATAAAATTTCAATGACTTAATTCCTAACTAAGGCGTACCTTTTAAAGCAAGCACATATTGCACACACACAGTCAAACAACCCTCACTAATGTTGTAAATTTCATGGTTGCACAATATAGGTAGATTACTCAGAGAGTGACCAAAAATTAAAAATCTCTGAGTATATTTACATAGCGTAGGTTATTTTGGAAAAAGCACCCATAAATAGCAGTGTGTGTGATTATGGTATCATAATGCCTTGTGATAATTCACGGTTTGTTTAACAACCAAATTTTGAATAAAAATCCACACACACATTCTTGCATGAATGATAAAGCACTTTCCAAATACATCACTCTGTGTTTTTAAATTATACTACAGTGTATTTGGATGCTGTTGATTGCACTCAGTTCTCCTGAGCACCAAAGACCAAAACAACAACAAAAAAGACGCTTTTATTTTTAAGAATGAACAGTCTGTTTAAAACAGCTTCAGATCTTCCATTGTTTGTTTGAAAAAACATGGTGCTATAATTCCATCTCACTGGTCCTATTTTGCCTGTGTTCTCAAACACACACATGAATTGCATGGATCTTAGAAAATGAAAATCTTAGGGAACCCGTGCTTTTATCTGTAAATAAAAGTCCTGCACAAATGTGCTGTCAGAATATCTCTTTTGTGAACTAGTTAAAGATTTAGATAGGCCTAGGTTTCGTCTTTCCTTTTCTGTGCATGCCATGTCCTTAATGTTTGCGTAAAGATACTTTCTTGTAAGTGTTCTCCTTAACAGAAGATAAAGTCCTCAGGACCTAGTTTACTACGAAAGGCTTTTTAAGAAATTGGTAAATAGTCATGTTTTATTTAGAAGTCACCAAGGTTCTGTCCTGTAATTTCATCTACACTGGTCGTGCAAGGTTTTATTAGAATTGTGAAGGAAAAAAATGATCTTTTGAAAGTCTTGGTGGAATAAAATATATGATAGCTGTGTTCTATATGGAGAAATGATTGCATTTATTTTTCTAATTCGTATATAAAAGTTACAAGTCCCAGTTTTATTACATCTACTGCTGCTATCCTATTTACTTGTAGAAATGGGAAGGACAGTGTTGTTACTAGCTTTTGGATATTTCATCTACTTGCTTGATTGTTTCATTATGCGAATAAACAAATGAATATTCCCATGTTTAACACAAGAGGTCATACTAATCACACAGCATTTTATAAAACTAATCAACTAGAGGTTTATTTCAGTTCCATTGTGCAACCTGGGATATCTCATCACAGTTTCAAGGTCTAAAATAAGAACTATTCAGAGTTTGCATTTTCATAGCTAAAGAGGTAAACCTTCCTCCCTATGATGCTGATTAATGAGCCGGAATAGAAAGATGCTACTTAATCTAACATCTTCCCTTTTGTCATGGTTTAACCTAACCTAAAATTATTTTAAAGTTTACTTTTAAAAATGAGTGTATTTATTTTCGGAAATAAAATGCATTCTTCATGTGAATTGAATTGTTACATTCTTTTGTATCACAAATAAATTAGCATGGTCAGCTCAGAACTGCTAAATCATACTAAACTAGTAACAGTGAACCCCTATGAAACAAACATTTTCTGTTTGGCATTGGGGCTTTGTTTTTTTTCTACCTTTTCATTATATACTGGATGGAACTGCTCTTACTGATTAACATAGGTCCTGCTGCTGCTTTGCCAAAGAGGCTGTTTTTTCACACACATGTGGTGTGTGTACACAGGTGTGCGCACACACCTTTGTATTAAGTAAGAGAGAGACAATTACTGCAGATCTCATTTGATAATGATGATTATTGGGGATGTTTGGGAAAAAGAATTTTTTTCTAAACCCACTAATTGCAAGAACAAGATAAATACTGTTGAGCAAAACTGTATCAATGGCAGGACAGGAAGCTCAACAGACACAAGAAAAATAGATTTCTGAGAGGAAAAAACCACTGTGAAATATTTGAAGTGAGAGCTAATGGCTAGTCATTTGAAAAGCCCACATAACAACATCTAATGGAGATGCAACACCTACAGGCTACAATAAAAGGTATTAGAAAGCTATTTTGGCTCTTATCCTATTGCCCCTACTCATGCCAGACTCCTGTTAAAATCACTGAGAATCCTGCACTCATAAAAATGTCAAGAAATATAGAACGATAGTAGCAAAAAGAAAATGAAAGGAATGGAAAAAAAAAAAGCCTAGGAAATTCCATT